CTATTACATGAGCTCATTCAATGTGTACCATTGATCTGATTCTAGATCAGATCTTGACCAGTGATCAAATGAAAGACTTTTGACTTGATCTAGGCCTTTGGATTGGTGGTTGGGAATGCATTTGGACTGTCCATCTTTAAGCTATCATGCACCTTCCTAAACATGATCCAAACTCAATTTTCGATTTGAACTTTGAATTAAAAATTCAAATTAATCCGAGTCATCGGAGGTTTCTATAAATACCTCCCACATTCTTCTTCTTCCTCATACCAAAATATCCAGGAGAAACTATTCATCCATTCCTCTCCCTCTCTGTCTCCTCCACCACTGTCACTATCCTAGAAATCCTCCACCAGAGTTACTATTCATTTGATGTACTATTCACCCAGATCATCATATTCAACTATTTCTCACCGGGGTATTCTAGTTGAGGAATAGTAGAATACGTCGATGAATAGTAACTTCCCGAAAAGGATAGGGAATGATGCTTGCTATCTTCTGGAAGTGAATAGTAAATTTGGGTGAATAGTAACTTACGGTATGAAAGACGGATACTATCTTCCGAGTGTGAATAGTGAATTTTAGATTTATAGTGATATTGGTGAATAGTACAATGGATGAATAGTAACTCCGATGGAGGTTGGCAAGAATAGTGACTATGGTGAAAGAGAGGAAGAGAAAGGGAGGAAGAGTTTCTCTTGAATATTTTGGTGTGAGGAAGAAGAAGAATGGGGGAGGTATTTATATAAACCTTTGATGGCTCGGATTAATTTGAATATTTAATTCAAAGGTTTAGATAAAAACTTGAGTTTGGATCATGGGGGGAGGTGCATGATAGCTTTAAGATGGACAATCCATATGCATTCCCAACAACCAATCCAAATGCCTAGATCAAGTCAAAAGTCTTTTGTTTGGTCAATGGTCAAGATCATATCTAGAATCAGATTAATGGTTTAGATTGAATGAGCTCACATAATACTACTATAGACCCTAGTCAACCTCTGAATAGTAGTATGAGTTAAAGTCTTCCAAATCTTCCAACCAATCCGGTGGTGCCATGTGGCGGATGTGTTCCAACCAATCATATGATGCCATGTGGAAATTCCAATTTAATTTCTTATTTTCAACTTATAAAATTCACTAAAAATACTTATGGTTCCCAAAAAATATCAACAAAAAAAAAAAAAAAAAAAA